TTTGTAATAAAATAACAAATACGATGGCGCAATCCTATGGTTTGACGTAATTATTATTTTAGTTTAACTAAATTCGAATTTCCAAACAGTTGGCAACCCCATTCGTAATATTTTTAAGCAAAAATCTTCTTAAACCTCTTTCGTTTGACTCCCTTATGGTAATGCCTATCTATTTTAATTACCTAATTCCTTTAAATCAAGTGGAATTTGATTTTTCAAACAGGTGGCAACTCCCTGCATGTAGTTAATACACATTTCGATTGATACCCATCTCTTAATAATTCATTTAACTTATAAAAAAATTTGAATATAATTTTTTAACAATATAATTTTTTAACAGGTGAGAACTCTTTAAAAAATAAACCTTCTATTGTGGACACAGGTCAAGCTTTTTAAGCTGACTCTTCATTTTTGAAATAGGAACGAATCCTGCAGATCTGAAGGCACTGACAACCAATGAAAAAATAATTGTATGCATTAGTGAAAAACGCATTACTGCAAAGTGCAAAAAATTAGCAGGTTTTTATTTCTTCTTTTGAAAGCTAAAAGCCCGTATTATTTAATAAATTAATAAAAAATAACCTATTTTTACATATATTTTTTATTCATTCCATTATAACTTAGCATTTTTTGAAATTTTGTTTAAATTTTTTTTCTGGAATACCGCAGGGACACCCTGTGTTTAATTTTATTCCAAAATTTTAATTCCTGTAATTCTCTACTATCTATGTTGAAACAATAAACGCCAAACCAACATTTTATTTCAAAGAATATTTTTTTGACATTTTTTTCTGTGAAGAGCTTACGCATGGCTATGTATGCTCTTATTAAAATTCTTAGTGCAAAATTTGTCAGCTTTAATTTTTTAGGGAAATGTCTGTTTAATTCTTTTTAGTGGATAAATTGTCTTTACAAAAATACCAAATATGTTCACATTTCAGATAACGAATTTGTCGATTTTTGCTCACTTAGGCGTCACTGTGCAACGCGTCGGTGGAGGACGTCTGCCTGCCATTTGGCTGCAAAAGGCTGCCATAGTAGCCGCCAGCCAGCATTAGCAGTTAACTGCAAACTACTTTTTGCTACATATCTACATACTTCTTCTCTGTTGGCACAAAAGCTTAGCTGCCATTTTGCGCTTATGTAGGGGTGTATTTTATTTGGCTACATCAAAACAACCCAGCTATTTGGGCTTATTGTTATAGCCAACTGATATTGTTTTTCGTTCGCACTGCTTTTGTAGTGGTTTTTGTTGTTGTCATACCATTATTTTTTGTATTTTATGTCATAGACCAATTTTTCGCTCGCCATGAAATCGGCTTTCATCTGATTTTTTGCATTTGATTTTACTTTTGGTTTTAATGTTTTTTTGCCTTCTTGCTTGGTGGCTTCTTGGTCGTTGCAACAAATTGTTTGCCTACAGAAGAGACAGATAGTTGGTAACGCTTCTATGCTGACACATACAAACCCGCACACAAGTTAATGAGAAACATACATGCATGCCTATGCATTGACGACTATAAAAAAGTTTTTTTTCTTGTGTTTGTTTGCATTTTTATATGTGCACTTGTTTACAGCTCCTTTTTTCCTTCCCGTTTGTTTTTATATTGATTGGTTCATTGCTCTACTTCGCTGCGCGCACATCGTTCGTGTGTCGTTCATATGTCCCTTTGTCAATGCATTTTAGACTTTCGTCATTCGTCTTTCCGACTTCGTTTTGCTTCACTATGTCTTGTATGTATTTTTCTTGATTGCAGTTTGGTAAAGTTTTTACTTTAACTACTTTTCTTCGAGTTCGAAGCATTAAGGCCAACCACATACATACAAGTTACCTACAAAGTAGTATAAATATATGTCAGAAGAAAAGGAAAAATAAATAAAAATTAAATGAAATGCAATTTTCTTAATGGATGTCAACATTGTCAGCTGCTCAAAAGTAAGAGATACAAATAAAAAAAAGTAAATAGCAAATAAATGTGAAAAGTGTTACATTATTTAAGGATGGTTGAAAAAGGATGTTGATAACGCTTTTTAAATTTTCAGCAAACAATTTCCTTCTTTGACTACTACCGACATCTGAAGATATGGGAGTGTGAACATAAATATTTAACACTACGTTGCCATATGTAGGTTCATTGTGCGTTGTCCGCCCTATGAAGCACCTAACCTGATATTTTCCACCAGCGCTGGTGCCTGGATATTCACATGTCAAGCCGAACGATATATATTTAATAAACCTCCGCAAAAGAAGGCCTTTTCAATAAAATGAGCTCAACCTATTTTTTGATTGCTTATCCTTATAGATATAGATAATTATAATTTGCAAACGGTTTCTGCATAAACTAAACATCTGCATATTGTAATCTTCAAAATTTGAAACAAAGGTCTAATTGTGTTGGTAAATTCGACGCAGAAATCCGAACTATCACAAGCATCCCGATAAGACCAAATTCGGATTGGCCTAGTTGTACTATATAATGTTATAAGCTTAAGGTTATGCGTTAATCGATAACAACGTGTCTCAAACAACAACCAAAAACCTTCCTACATCTCTTTTTTTATATTTAGCCTTATCACTACGCTTTTCGTTATTATTACATTTATCTTGATCTGTTTGCCGTTATCTTTATTTTTACCTTTATTTTTTTCAGAGTAAGGCACTCCGCACATTACGCGCTTAATCATAGTAGTAGTACAATTGGCACGAGTTTTAGCACAAAATCATTAACTGTCAATATTTCCTATTTAAATGACAAATATTTTATTTATTTTCAACACAAAAAAGTAAACAGATGATAATTTCAAAACGGCAAGCGCCTTACAATGTTGGGCGCTTCGATTCATGAAGCTTTTATGATTATGAATCGTAATATACAGAGCTTCATTGAAGTACATGTGTTCGGCATAAAAGCTTCAAACTTTAGTATGCCGGAACGATTACACTAATATGATTAGGCGCTTAATGTGCGGAGTGGCTTAGTGTTTAAATTTACCCTTGATCTTCATCTACGTTTTTATCTTGCATATTTTTCGCATTTTCTTTGTTTATGTTTCCGACACGGTAGAAGTATTATGTATTGTGGAACGATTCTTCGTCATCCCTTGTCAAATTTGGTTTGGACACATCGCCGAAACAGGTTTGTCTCCAAACTAAATTTTGACAAGGAGTGACGGAATATTGTTCCCCAATAGTTCATATTTTCGGGTTTATTTTTATCGTTGCTGCATATTAATCTAGATGATGTGAGATGAGAGGATATGATAAGATGTCAGATATGTAATAAGATGTCAGGTAACACGATGTGGAGTGATTTGATGTGATTTAATATAATGTGATTTGACGTGATGTGATTGGCTGTCATGTCATCTGATGTCATTTACCTAATTCGATGTCCTGTCATTTGTGATGTCATATCATGTGGTGTCATATCGTGTGATGTCATGTAAAGTGATGTCATATCATGTGATGTGATAGTATGTGATGTGATGAGATGAGATGTGATGTGATGAGATGTCATATCATGCCATGTCATATCGTGTGATGTCATATCGTGTGATGTCATATCATGTGATGTCATCTCATGTGATGTGATAAGAAGCAAACCATTTCCTTTGCATTTGCCAATTTACCAGTTTTGACTCGTTTCCTTTTGCTTTTTTTAAGATTCATTAATTTTTTATTAAAACTCAGCTCCTTATAAAACAAAAACAATATAAGTCCAAATTTCAAACTTTGTACAAAAATTTAAAAAGTTACAAAAAATTTTCATCCCAAGTCCAAGTATTTTAATTAGAATTTCGGAATTAATTTTTTGAATGCAGTTTTGTATGATAAAGTGACAGTTTAAAGATGCAAAAAAATTGCGTTGATTTTGGATATTTTTGTTTTTACGATATCACGCATTTTCTTCCTTTACACAAAGTAATTTTTTGAATGGAAAAAATTGTATAACACCGTGACAAAAAAAAATATCAAAAATCAATGCGATTTTTTAGCAACTTCAAAGAGTCACTTTATTATATTATATTTTAATGAGCTATAAAACTGCGTACCAAAAATTATTCTAGAAATGAAAATGCTTGGAATTGGGACGAAAAGTTTGGGGGAATTTTTATAATATTTTTATAATATAAGTGGGCAATTTCGATTTATGTCGCATTTTGTATATAAAAGTAATGAACATTAAACAAGCAAAGGATAAATAGTGAAAACTATGCAAACTGTTGCGCTGCTATCGTTATTATCGCGCGCTGTTCTTAAACATTTATACAAACTATGTTGTTCTATAAAATAAAATTAATAATATTAAAAAAATAAAATTATTTGTAAGAAAATGGTCTTCAAACTTACGAAAATTTCTTAATGAAATATTATTAGCCAAATTTCCACTGGCAAACTTTCATAATCACAATAAGTTTAACTCTATTTAAAAATAGGATTTAATCTCATTTGAACTATTTAACAAAAATTTGCATGCACTTTTCACATTTAACTTAAATCTAAATAAAGCAGAATTATCTTATATTTAACAACAAAAAAATAAACTTAATTTCTGCTTGTCTGCTTCAGGTATTTTCTTTGCTAAATAACTACAAACTACGATAATAATTGACCCACAATGACCATAAGTGTTTCATATACATACATAAATAATGTGGAATATCCTTTCTGCAGACAACATGCAGCATTAATCATATTTATCTCATTTATTTTTGGTAGCAAGAATGCGAAATGTGTCTTCATTGCTTTAATAGCTTGCTAAATAAAGTATTTAGTGCAACATTTATTTATTAGAGCAATAAAATAAATTCTTATCTCTGCCTGTGCTAATAAAAAAATACATTTTAGTATGTATGTATATTAATACTTGAACAGAGAATAAGTATTATATTTCCTAAACATTTTTGCTCCAATATACATACTATACATACATACATATTTTTCATCATGCCTTCTCTTATGTATAAACAATTTGTTTCCTTCCTTCTTCCACTTTCAGGTTCACCGCCACCTACTGTGACATGGCTTATGAACGGCCAACTACAAAATAGTGTGGTGGATTACTCATATGAAGGCAACATCAACAGCAAATTAGTTGTGCGAAATTTGTCACGCATTCACCAACATGCTGTGTACACGTGTCAAGCGAGTAATTTTCACAAGAAATATGTCGCCACCAATATCACAATTGAATTGTATTGTAAGTAAACAAAAAAAAATTGATATTAAAAATAAATATCCATAAGTATGTGTATGCGTATGTAGATGTACGTGAACTGCAATCGTAATTAAATCTTAAGATGTTGCATCTGATGCAAAAAGAAAATTATTTTCGAATAAATAAATAGAATATATTTGTGGTCGAGCGACAATGGATGGCTGGTTGCTTAATAGCATCGAAAGAGCGTAGCCCTGAACCCAAATAGCGCCTTTTTATGAATCTGGTTATACCGTGCGACAGTAAATTATACACACAAAAAAAAATTTGGAGACATTATAGTAAAACTGCGTACTTAGTTTTTCGCTCTGAGGTCAGGATTTATTTTAAAAAACTTTTAAATGTAAAAAATATCATTATTTAATATTTTTTTTTAATTTCAGTGCAATGTAGGATAACAATGAAGGTGACCGTATAAAAGAAAACACCTAAAAAATTAATTTTTTGGGGCATAAAGACGAATGGGTATGGAACATATTCTTTACAAATTTTGTCCATAAAGTGTCCCTTGGAAATTTGCAATATTTTCTTTTTTAATTATTGTTTGAGGACTAATATAACCACGACGTGATCGTCGAACTTCGTCCTGCAACCTTTATTAATTTGAAAGTGATAAAATTTATTAAAAACGCATTTTAAATACCTATTCGTCTTTGTAAATCAAAAAACTTTATTGTTTTTAAATTTCTCATATTTTTTCTCTCATTTGGTACCTACTTGTTATTCTACATTGCACTGATTTTTTTTTAAATAATTTTTTGAATTAGTCATATCTCTGAAATTTCAAAGACCTTTGAAAAAAATCCTGAGGTCAGAGTGAAAAACTAAAAACGCAGTTTTACAATATTTGGCCCATAGTTGCGTGAGTATATCGATTCTTTCGTGTGTTTTGAGTCTTTTTTTGGTTTTGTCGCACGGTGTTATTTATGCGCATTTAGATAACATTATCAAATTATCGTAAAGAAATGTTCTACTTTGTGTCACAGTTCACAACTCGCAGTAATAAAAGACCGTTTATTAACTATGCGCAATGTCATAGAAGCGGCAGTGTTTGTTGTATTTGAGAACCCTTCTGATCTGCGGATTCACTCAGGGGTTAACGTTACGTAATTTCAGCGATATTCTACGAATTTCTCTTATTGATCCAAATACATGGAAGTTCTTCCCACTCCGATTTTTCGTATTTTTCCCAAATTGCAGGTCAATGTTCTATTGCATTTGGTTTCAGTCTAACTTTTGAATTGCAAACATACGTATGCGCATCAATTTTAAATAAGTATCTATGCAGGATAGCACATCAACTATCTACGTTTCAAGTTCACGAATAAAGGTGCCATTTCGAATCGAGAGAAAAAATTACTCGGCAATCAAGCTCAGTACCATCCTGCAGTTCCTGCCTGGAGCTGGTTACGCGTGGTGTTAGCGATAGGAAGCTGTTAGACGATCTTTACGATAGACCTACCTAGTACACAACATTTCCTCAGCAAAGTAGTATTCTGTTCACGCTGTGAAAAGCTTGCAACATGTTGGCAACATGAAGCTAGCAACACAATTTTCATGGCAATTTAAAATACACATGTGCTTTTTAAATTTTGTGAAAGTTGATAGTTTATAGAATTCAGTAGCGGCGAGCACAAAGGGGGGCTAAGGGGTTAANTGGCAATTTAAAATACACATGTGCTTTTTAAATTTTATGAAAGTTGACAGTTTATAGAATTCAGTAGCGGCGAGCACAAAGGGGGGCTAAGGGGTTAAACCTTACCCCAACCGGTTGTAAAACTTTATTTCACGTACAAGGAAATTGCGTATTATTACTTATTATCATATGACTGGTTCGAACACCNTGTAAAACTTTATTTCACGTACAAGGAAATTGCGTATTATTACTTATTATCATATGACTGGTTCGAACACCCAAAGAGAATGGCTTCGTTTTTAACAGTTTTATAAACATTTCAGTAAGTTAACTAATGTTTGTACATAACGGTAAACGCAACAAATATGATTGCAAATGAAAAAAGAAGATTTAAAAATTTTCAAAAACTAACAATTAGCGACCGCTATGGTTAGCAGTGCGCGCTATCATTTCGCAGGGCCTGTGCTCAAGCCCAGTTTCCGAACAACACCAAAAAATAAAATAAACAAAAAGGTTGTTTTCTAATAGCGGTCGCCCCTCGGCAGGCGGTAGCAAAACCTCCGAGTGTATTTCGTATTTAGTATGTTCAGATATCATCAGAGATCAGTTAAAATCCGACACAAAGGGCGTCCAATGCCCTTTATGTTTTCAGCCTACATTCAGCTATAATTTTTATGTCTGCGTGAGTGCTGTAAACCACAACACCATAAGTGTTTGCTGGGGTTTTCAAGTAAAAGTGTGGCCGAAAACACAAATTTGTCAATTTCGTGTCAGTTTAATAACTTAGTATTGTCTAATGACACATAATAAATTATTTTCATTTAGATATACATCTCCGCCCATATAAGGTTTATTACACAAAACCACTGAAGTATTCTGACCATTCACAGTGTCACGGATACGCTCCATTGCAACAGAGGATTATCGGGCGCATAGTTTCTCGCAGATTGTTTCTTCATTTAACTGTTTTCGTTTTACCTTTATGTAGACCTATAGACTCTTCTTTCCTCGAGCCAGTAGGCCTTTTGGTTAAGGGTTTCTTAATATTTTTACAGCTGGCGCAGATATCTTACCGTAACTTGAGCAACCCTTTTGAGATTCTCGGTTCAGCTACCTCCTATAATGGCCATGTGTCTGCTTAAGGACCATCCTGTCGTGGTATTTTATTCCGCACATTGTGTTTAGGATGGAAATTTGGGACTTTTTTCAAATTGTGTGAGCAAATTTTTTTTGTACAATAAAACGTATTGTTCTTCTGTCTGTAGTCTGTGAGGCTTTGCATTTTTTAGTTATCTTTGAATCCTGGCTATTACGATCTGGTTTTGATTTCAACTGCTGCTACCACGTATCATACAGTGATGACAGCGACAATACTCTCCGCATATATTTAATATGGCTCTTTAGTGTTCAGATTTAGTATATAATATTGTTGTTTTAGTTTACATTTCAATTTACCCGAATGCTTAGATACTGAGTAGTGTGGTATTAGTAGCCTGATGCATACTTGCTCCTGGTGTGAGTGGTTTTAAAGGCTACACGTACACAAAAAATTAAGCTTAAATAACTTTAAAAGTGTTCAAAAATATTCCAAATAACAAATAAAAATAGTTTTTGAATTCAAGTTAAATAAATATACTCGTCTGC